TTTAGCGCTAATCAATTACTCACATTTTGTACGGCGGCAGCGCTCAAGGCTATTATGTCAAACCAGTCTGTTAAGCTTGGGTGCACATGAATCGCGTATGAACAATAAGTAAATCAGACTCGGTATTCTCTTCAGCATGTCTCCGGTAAGTTTATTCACAGACTGACAACAGTCAACGTAGTGACGTCACATTAGGACGTACCTAGTCAACGTAGTGACGTCACATTAGGACGTACCTTCATACAAGAACAGAATAACAGTGCGACTGCTACCGTAGTACACAGACTAAGGGCGTCATCAAATAATAATACTTAACACCCCCACTCGCTCTTAGCTTACTGGGTTACCTGAGAACAAAACAAAATAAGGCTTCTTTTTCTTTTACCTTAACTATGTTAACTCTTTGCCCTTCTAGGTGCCAAACATATCCTGAGCAAACCTCTTTAGCTTTATTTTGGTGGCTGGTTTTGTCATCACATCAGCNTTCAAGAGACCATTGTTCATGTCACATTTAAAACCCAAATGCAAACATGGTGTATTTGTTACGTATCTTTCGTATTTTGGAAAACTGCACTTCCAGTTATTTTAACCCAAATCGCAATATTTATAAGATTTTATGAGAACAGGTCCTGCACTTCAGGGCTTGTGCAGGAAGTAAAAATACGAAATATAATACCTTTGAATGTGGATAGTCTTAATAACATTCCTAACACTTTTTTTGTATCTAACTCACAATCCAAGGAAACAACAACAATGGGGAGGTCATCAACAATGGACTCTTTCGACATGTCCTCGAGGGTCTTGATGCCAAGTCCCGCATGTCGTCCACGTCTTCAAACTCCTCCTCTGACAGCCAGAGTCTGGACGCCCATCGAGGAGAAATCTGTGAAGTCAGGTCAGATGATGAGAAAACACACACCAGCACAATCAAGCGGAGAGCCGTGCCTCCTGAGATGGAGAGAGTGAAGAGTCATACTCCATCAGCATCTTCGTAGGACGCGCCCTCTCCACCTGCAGCACCTAGATGACAGGCAGGTGGTGAAAAATGGACTTCTGGATGAGAGCCAATACAAGAGCCTCCACACACTGGCTCTTCTCACGGCTTTCAAGCTTTTCATTTGATTTATGAGTTGAAGGGTTGGGTTCTGTGTGTGTTTTCAAGACTGTAGATACTGGGATTTCTTATTAACCCTCAACTATTTCTATTCATGTTTTGGCATGTTGTAACGGATGTGATTTCTTGCCCTGTTGTTGACCTCACTGGACCTGTTGACGATGAATGATGACTCAAGCTACATTTGGCAAAACACCACCGTGTTCCTAATTATTAACAAAACAGTTCCTGGTTATTTGAAGGTGTTTCAGGAAAGGTAGTGATAAGTTTTCTTCTATGGAAACTTGATGACGCTACAACCACAACCTGTGAACCACAACCACAAACACACTGGCTATTATTTGTGTGAGACGTTACTATGTATGTTGAGTTATCATCGTTCAGACTTTGTTAGTATAGCACTTCTCATACTATTAAAATGTAGCGCAAAGTGCTTCACACTGTACAACAACCCTATCCCCCCTCTATGCACACACAAAGCAATTAATGGGTTTGTAATAATAAAGAAACTAAAAAATACCAGCATAAATGAATGTATTTTCTTTTTCTGAGAAAAAAGTATATTTTTCTGAAATCAGAATCTGAATCTTTTTTTCATGTGGCCCTAAACCTCTTCCGCATAGGATTTGAACCGGCGATCTAACAACTTAATACAGTCTTTTTATACATTTTCTTACAACTAAGATGTCCATACAGGTCTTTAAATTATTTAATTCATTCATTCCATAATTCATATTTGCACAGATAAAACACAAGACAACAGATCAATACATATATCTTGACTTATAGCCAGGCTGACTGCATAGTGACTGTATGACGCTGTTTCGGAAGTCCCGTCCCTGCAATAACTGTGATGAAAACCTCATGAGAAAACAGTGGAATGTAGAGGGTTGTAATTACATATTGACACACACACACACACACACACACACACACACACACACACACACACACACACACACACACACACACACACACACACACACACACACACACACACACACACACCAGTGATTGATACGTTCTCGCAGTGGGCGTTAAAAGAGGAGTGGGCAGGTTCTCGTACTCCTCAGAAAAGTCAGTCCTCAAACACTTGCAGGCGGCTGAACTGAACAAGCATCATGCTCTGCTTCTTCTTCTTGGTATGTAGCAACACCGGCTTTTCTGAATTTATTTCAATTTAATTACACTTGTTTTTTATCTTTGTATTGGAAATGAAAGTACGACACAATGTCATTTTGAGGCAGCATAATTTCCATTATTATCTATGGAAATCACTCGTTGTTAGTAAATATAATTGTTCATCACTCTGCTTTTCTACACATCTGCGTTCTGTGTTTCCGTGTCTTACAAGATGTAAAAAGTGTTTTTTATTGTCAAACATAATGTGCACAGTACAGTTTTCCATGTGATGTAGCTGCTTCTGTGGAACTGGTTCACCAAATATGCAGCAGAGGTTAATTTACAGGTTTACAGGAGGCATTAACTATGAGCTCCAACCTCAAAAAAATCTTACTTTGCATACTATCGTACATTGTGAGTACCCTGCACTTCAGGTTTGGTTGGCTCTTGGTCTTTCAGGTGTATCATTTGTCGAGCGCAGCATGCTCAGAGCTGCTGGGTCGTCACAGAAGGTCTTGGATCATCGACTCGTTCACCATAGAGGAGGGGCATCCCGGGCCCTTCCCTTATGTGCTGGGAAAGGTGAGAGACAGAAAATAAACCTTTTAGCCAACTTAAATGCCAAATTGTATTGATTTACAGACCCATTCATTCTAATAACTGCTTTTACGAATCTTACCATTGGTATGCAAAGCTCTAAGGACTTGCTTTAGTTTTTCATTGCTTCTAACCAAATGGTCATGTTTTTTCCTTGGACAAATACAAGTTTCAGGCTCCCCAAAGCCAAGCGTAAAGTGTCTGGTGATGTGTTTTAGATAACTATCGATCGGGACTATCGAGTGAAGTTTGATCTGTATGGGGAAGGAATGGACGAGGAGCCGAAGGGAGTCCTCACCATTGATAAAGAATCTGGCACCTTGTACGTCAACAGGGCCGTGGACTACGAGGAGAAGACAGTGCTGAAGGTTAGACATAGATATCAACATGAAGTAACAACTAGTCAACCACTTTCTTATAAATCACCTAAAAAGGCCTACACACTGATAAGGGATGCACAGTCTGTCATAATTACTGGTATTCAAAAGACCAAACACACTCTGTATTGCTCAGACTAGTATTAGATAATGTGTCTAATTAAGCGATTAGTTTGAATTCACTTTTTTTAAACATCTGTTTTGTTTATGTTTCGTCTCTGCTGCTGTTTTATAGTCAAATCAGACCAAAATCAAAGCATAATGTAATCAGCGGAAGCTTTTTTACCAGCAATTAGAATTTGGAAAGGAAAAGTTAGGTGTTTTTTTTTAATGAGCTTGTATGAGGAACAAAAAGAAAGGCACACCTAAAGAATTCTGTTCAGAGGATAGTTATACTTACAATATTTTCAGCGCTTCTGACAGCTATTTCTGATAAGAACCTAAACCTTTCTTTATATAACAGTTTCAATTGACCAAAACTGTAATTTTACCATAACGAACACAGGGGTTGCTGGTCAAACTAAATGGGTCGTTACTGTGTTTTGTGAGGTAAAAAAGGAATTAAAAAAGGCAAAGAACGATATAACAGCTTCAGGAGAGAGCTGGCTGACAGTAATGGAAATATTTCAAATATACTGTACTGATATAGAGTGATATAGCCATAGAATAAACATAGATATCAACATTCAACCCCACTTCAAGACATCAATTCCATCCCTTTAATGTATGTATTGTAAATTACATTTTCAAAACTTAATTTTGTTTTGAATTTTGGATATGTAGGAAGTTATGTTATTGTTATCTTGTATGAAATCAAGTTGAAAATACACAACGCAAAGATAATACACACATTTTTAGGATCTTTACCTGCAATTCAGTTGAGATTATCATGATTTATGTCGAGTTGAGATTATCATGTTTTATGTCATATCACACCTTTTTACAGTTGAATCAAATGCTTTCTTTACATTATGACTAATGTTGAGTCCCATCTTTCAATCTGTAGCTTAGATTTGAGGTAATGAAGACAGATACGTCGATTGACACCAAATTAGGAGTTGAAATTGGAATATCAGACATCAACGACAACCCACCTCGATTTCAGAGGGATCTGTTTGAAATCAGCGTTGATGAGGACGCAACACAAGGTAGAGGATATAGTAAAGATGTGATATGCCTTTTCTTGTTTCCTCACAATATCTGGTAAGTACATCCCTTTCTTTGCTTTGTCATTTCCCAACAGGCTCCCATGTTCAGACTATGGTAGCCTACGACAAAGACGAGAGAGGGACGCCAAACTCAACGTTCCACTATGAAATTAAGTCTGTGTCTCCAAACCATCCGGACACTGAGTTCACTATTGATTCTCAGTCTGGGACAATGTCCTTCAAAGGGTGTTTGGATCATGAGGCAAGTGTCTGTACATTCTTTGCTGTAAGTTCGTTTATTGCAGCAGTTCTTGTTCTGCAGGGTCTTCACTGGATGGTACAACGTGACACATGATACAGTATATAGGCAGAGTGTACAGAATGTGCTGTTTTTCTGTTTACAGTCTGAAAACATTTAAGTTATGTTTGAAAACACAGCTGTTGTATGTGAAGCAGAGTGAGTTGACCTTCTTTAAAATCTGAAGATGATTTGATATATATATACAAATAGTTTAGCTGCACCCTAACACCTTTAGCTCACTATTGATTGTGCTGATAATGCCACTTTTTGATAATACAATTACCATTAAAGAAGAGAAATGGACCCTGACTGGATGGTAGCCCAGTTCTGTATTTTATAAATCTAATCATATCTTTTTGATTTGCTTGTGTTGAGGTGGCTGAGATGTTCACAGTGGTGGTGGAGGCCAAGGACCACGGTGACGTAGTCAGTCTGTCCAGCTCAAGCACTCTTATCATCCACGTCCAGGACGGCAACAACCACCTCCCAGCCTTCAGCGGACAAACAGTGAGCATCTTTTCTTTATTTGTTGACATAACAATGATTACACATTAACACACAGTTCTTGGTGCTTCACACACACATGCATATGATGATGCTGATGTCCATTCATGTTAGACATGGCATGTTGGTGTTGCCATTTAAAAATAGAATTATGTTTAGATCTGAAATGAATATAAGAAATTCTACAATGATTGATATAAGGGAAAACGTTTGTTTTGTATGTATACAAAGTTGAGGAAGGTTAAGAAACTGAAAAAGAAACAATTACAATTGTCAATGGCAACTTACATTTTTGTTTTAAACATAGTTGGAATGAAAGAGAAAAACAACCAGAGAAACAAAGGATACAAACAAGTGATAAGAAATATTAAAATAGGTTATAAGGAATAAATACAACTGATTCAACTCACATTAAAAAAACACATGTTAACTAATTTACTTTACACTTTAAATAAGCCATTCCAGCTCTGTTAGCAATAAACAACAGTATAATCCACGCTCATCGACTCCAATATGGGAAAGAAATAGATGCTCTATCAGATTCCTTTCCCTTGACCTCTGCCCTTTTGAATCACACAACAGGGCTCTGGGAAAGTAAAAGAACATGAAATCGGTACATCTCCTCTGCGGCTGCATACGACAGACAAAGACACGCCAAACAGCGCGGCATGGAGAGCTAGATACACCATTCAGGGCGACGAGGGAGCGCACTTCAAAATAGAAACAGACCCGGACACCAACGATGGGATCCTGACGGTTGTAAAAGTAAGAGCTGCTCAGCTGCATACTTTACATTACAGTGACACGTCTGTAGTCTGGTGTGTAATTAGGTGTAATGTGTATTATTACTGTACCTTTACGTCAGCCATGTTTGTCCTTGTGTGTCTATAATGACAATGTATTGTATGTATTGTATGATTCAGCCGTTAGACTTTGAGGAGGAGGTCCTGAGGGAGTTGACCATCTCAGTGGAAAATGAGGCGCCATATTTCACCTGTAAAGTGAAGGAGAGGCCGCCATCGGGCCTCTGGAAAGTTGAAACCAGTAAAGGTGACGTTCCTCCGCCGGACACTGTAAAAGTTAGCATTGAAGTGGAGGATGTCAACGACCCCCCGGTGTTCAGTGTGAGTGTGAAAGAGGTCGCGTTGGAGGAAAACGCACCCATCGGGACGTGGGTGGAGAAAGTGAACGCCGTGGATCCTGACTCAAGAGATTTTGTGTAAGTGGGAAGTTCGATCCAACATGTTTTAGCTTATCTGGGAGCTGTTTCACTAAAGCAAGTCGTATATTTTCCACAGGTACAAGGTAGGAAGCGATCCTGCTGGCTGGGTGATGGTGGATCCTCACACAGGAGACATCACGACAGTCGGGACACCAGATAGAGAATCTCCTCATGTCAGCGACGGCTTCTACACCATCTTACTGCATGCCTTGGATGATGGTAAAACTCAAATTGATGCTGACTGGCACTGACACAAACCGTATTTAAATGAACAAATATATGTTTGATTTAAATCCTCACTGCTTTGTGACCCTATTTGTGTCTCTGGGGCTGGCTTTAGTGACCCCTGGCTTTTCACTCAATCTGTGAAATATCTAAATGGATTTTGAACCCAATTTGGGACTGACCTTTATGTTTCCCAGATTATTCACCCTGGAAACTTCGGTGATCACATGAGGTACACATTTGTAGTTTTTCATGAAATTTGACACACATTCAAGCCTCACCTCAGGATAACTGTAGCACCACCATCAGGTCACCAATTCTATTCGTCCAATATGTTAGTTTTCTGCCCAAATACCAGCTATACCCAACCTTTGTTATTCTTTGTGTTTATGAAAGTGAGCAAGCACACACCCTACTTCTGGGATGTGGTTAAATAGTCAAGATTCTTATGTATTTTATTCTCCCTTGACCTTAATGGCAGATGTCATTAGGTCAAGTGAAGGCGTGAAGTAAAATCCAAATGATCGTTCACAAGGCTATGAATTATACAACAGCAGATGTGATGTCAAGGCATGGAATTATGGGACGACATTATCTTTTTCATTTCTGTAAAGGACGGTCGAGAGTACCCTATGTTTGAGGAGATAAGAAAAAGGAAAGAATTACAGTACCTTTCTTCAGCATTGGAGAATTAGACCAGGTCATTGCTTAGATGCTTCATGGTCATGTCACGGTAACCTTCCAAAGAAAAAATTGCTTTTTTCGATCAGAGGCTCAGGAATCTGAAATCAAAGCAGTTCAATGTTATTCAGACATTATTCATTTCGTTATTTGCACCCATGCTTTTCCATACTGGTCAAAAATCATCTTCAGTGAAAAAGGTCAATTAGCAAATGTTTTCATTCTAACCTGCAAATCTAAGACATTGAAAATGGTTTGATTTGAACAAAGAAAAGACCTGTCTATGCTGCCCCATAACGCCTCGTTGGAGATTTCTCTTTTTCTTCCCGGGTACAGTGACGTACCCATACCCAAATGGACCCATTGGTCCAAATGGACCAATCCGTGGAGCTCCTCAGACACACACACTCTTGCGCCGCGTTTGGGGATGCAGGTGCTAGTGGAGCCTCGCAGATGGGGGTGCTGCAGCCCCCTCTGCATCCCCCCTTCCCGCGTCCATTCGCGATGTCTTGCTGTCTCGCAGACCCCACGCAGCAACCAGGAAATGAACTCAGCTCACACTGTCCGCTCCTCGCAGCAGCTAGCCGCGCAACGTCCCGCCAACACGGCACCCAGACCCCACGCAGCATTCTCATCTGTTTGTCCTTACTGGTGTCATGTTCAGGTTGCTAACGCCATTGTAACACATAAACAC